AAAGACTGTACTTTATTTGTATATACTGAGCAATGTTCATTTGGTCCTGGGCAAAGGGTCTTTGGGGAATAACTCACATTTGCTTCAATCATTCTGTAAATACAATGTAAACATGTTAACAGTATGACAGACCACTGGAAGAACACTCCAAAATGAAGGAAGTGGATAATTTTCAGCAAATCAATTGTTGGAACCAGTTTAGCTGTCTTCAGGAGTCCTTTGAGCTTGGCTGTTTTCTTGCAGACATTTTATTACCCAAACAAGGTAACATCGTCCTTTACAAACAAGAAGTAAGCCATATCCCAATCAAGAAACTGTCAAATAAGCTAACAATAAACAGCCCAACCAAATTATCTCTAAAACCACTTCCACTGACATTGACAGGGCAAACCATGAGAATATAAATTGAGAGTAATTCTCTACTAGCACCCCTGAGCTACAAATATACTCCTTTATTAGCTGTCTTCTACTATCCTGGTGCTCTCTAGGTGTGTTAGAACTGCAACTTTCAAAATTCTTAACCAACCCAGTTAAGAGGAGTGAGAAATGCGGTACAGGTGGTCCTCAACTTACAACAGTTCATTTAGTGACCACTCAAAGTTACCACAGCATTGAAAAAAGTGACAGATGACCATTTTTCACACTTATGACCATTTCAGCATCCCCGTGGTCATGGGATCAAAATTCAGACGCTTGGCAACTGACTCAAAGTCAATGGGGCGGCCAAATTCACTTAACAACCATGTTACTAACTTACACACTGCAGTGTGACAAGGAAAGTTGTAAAATGGGGCAAAACTCACTTAACAAAGGTCTCCCTTAGCAGCATAAATCTGGGGCTCAGTTGCGGTAATAGGTTGAGGATTACCTATAGTTGATGCCCTCTAACTGTATTGATGGCTGATTTCATTATTTACTTCCTGAACAGACTATCAATGTTCTCTATATCTTTTCCTGGCAAGTTGGTCATATTCAACATGCCATCTATTAAGAACAAGTTTGGATTTTTGCTACATATTACATATACTCTGTTCACATTAGAATTGGCTTGCCAGTTTCCCTTCCTAAATTATACATTCTCTTTTATCTCTATCAGTTCTGTATTGAAAACCAATACTAACAGCATTCCTATTAGCTGTGAATGGCTAGTTAGTGACTCAAGGATACTTACATTATTCTATAAGAAACATATACAATCTTGTTGAGGATTACACTGAAAGTACTTTGGAACTGACATCAGAAGAAAAATGAAGAGAAATTTTATCCAATACAATAAAAAATACCCAACATAGTATGGGCCAACTTACTCCATACTTAGTCCTCAAGTTCACTGGGTCACTGTGGACCAATAGTTTCTTATTCTATTTATTATACTTCGCAAATTTGATTTGGAGATAAAATAGGTCAATTTCTATGTATTCCATCTTTTAGCATCTTAAGAAAGACTGCAGATACAAATATATTTGCCTAGTTGAAGTTGACCATACCATAGTTTATTTAGCATTGCTGCATTTGCTACCCAGAGAAAGCTGCAGGAAGACAATACTGCCATATTAATACTTCATTAACATGGCAACAAAGATTACTTGTCCTTAGGAAGTGTAGTCCTTTAAAGCATTTACAGTTCACCACCAAGACATACATATTTGTGAAGAAATCCAGAACCCTTTTATTAACCCAAGATGTACTTGAAAAATTCATAGGATCCGTTTCGCGCATTAGAAACTCAATCAGAAAAATGTACAGAAAAGGAGACAAAAGATTTGTTCTTACAGCTAATAAAAAATTTATATCAAAGCATTCAAGTAAAGTTATTTTCTGTGTTCTGATTTAATGAATCATTTGAGCAGTATCCAGCTAGTGTGACACTGATGTAAGGCTCACTGAAGCCTGCTCTAATGCCTACTAGTATTGCCTTTCTTGGGATAAAAAAGACAGAAAAATGTGTCAGAGTAAAGCAAGATCAAAGTAAGTGTAGTTCTGGGGAGTTTGATTTGCTACATTTCTTGATATATGAATGCCTGATATATGAATAGCCATAAGGAATTTCTAAAATATTTTTTGCTATCTTGTAATTAGAAATGACAACCAGACAATGATTACTTGATATTTTCTATCCTATAAAATGCCAAAGAATGTTCTAACTATCGCACCATTGCACTCATTTCACATGCTAGTAAAGTTATGCTTAAAATCCTACAAGCTAGACTCCAGCAGTATGTAGATCGAGAACTACCAGAAGTACAGGCAGGATTTCGAAGAGGCAGAGGAACTAGAGATCAAATTGCCAACATACGCTGGATCATGGAGAAAGCTAGGGAGTTCCAGAAAAACATCTACTTCTGCTTCATTGACTATGCAAAAGCCTTTGATTGTGTGGATCACAACAAATTGTGGCAAGTTCTTAAAGAGATGGGAGTACCAGACCATCTCATTTGTCTCTTGAGAAACCTATATGCGGGTCAAGAAGCAACAGTGAGAACTGGACACGGAACCACTGATTGGTTCAAAATTGGAAAAGGAGTCCGGCAAGGCTGTATACTGTCGCCCTGCCTATTTAACTTATATGCAGAGCACATCATGAGAAAGGCAGAGCTAGATGAATCAAAAGTTGGAATTAAGATTGTCCGGGAGAAATATCAACAACCTAAGATATGCAGATGATACCACTCTAATGGCAGAAAGTGAAGAGGAACTAAAGAGCCTCTTGATGCGGGTGAAGAAGGAGAGTGCAAAAGTTGGCTTGAAACTCAACATTAAGAAAACCAAAATCATGGCATCCGGCCCTCTCAATTCCTGGCAAATAGATGGGGAAGAAATGGAGGTAGTGACAGATTTTATTTTTCTGGGCTCCAAGATCACCTCAGATGGGGACTGCAGCCAAGAAATTAAAAGACGCTTGCTCCTGGGGAGGAAAGCTATGGCAAATCTAGACAGCATACTAAAAAGCAGAGACATCACCCTGCCAACAAAAGTGCGTATAGTCCAGGCCATGGTTTTCCCAGTTGCAATGTATGGCTGTGAAAGTTGGACCATAAGAAAGGCTGAGCGCAAAAGAATTGAGGCCTTTGAACTATGGTGCTGGAGAAGACTCCTGCGAGTCCCTTGGACTGCAAGGCGTTCAAACCGGTCAGTCCTAGAAGAGATCAACCCCGACTGCTCTTTAGAAGGCCAGATCCTGAAGTTGAAACTCAAATACTTTGGCCACCTAATGAGAAGGAAGGACTCACTGGAGAAGGGCCTAATGCTGGGAAAGATTGAGGGCAATAGAAGAAGGGGACGACAGAGAATGAGATGGCTGGATGGAGTCACTGAAGCAGTAGGTGTGAACTTAAATGGACTCCAGAAGATGGTAGAGGACAGGAAGACCTGGAGGAACATGGGGTCGCGATGGGTCGGACACGACTTCGCAATTAACAACAACAACAACAATCCTATAAAAATCTATCAGTAATTCCTATTGGAAAAAATAATGCAAAGAATTCTAAAATTGACTAATTTTACTAAATGCTTTTTGACTCTTGGAAACCTTCCCCCCCCAATATTTAACATCAGGGATGTAAAAAAAGAAGTGGCATGCCTTTGTTATGCTTTCTGCACTGGCATCTCTTATTTTGTAATCCTAGACCAGGGGTAGGCAACTTGGCTCTTTTATGACTCGTGGACTTCAACTCCCAGAATTCCTGAGCCAGCATGGCTGGCTTAGGCAGGATTCAGCCAGTTTGCACCAATTTGGCAGAACCGGTAGCTAATGTTTTGTTGTCCAGGTCCAGAATGGACTTCCGGAAGCGGCATCCACACAGAGAACTAGTTGTCTACATATTTAGTAATAGTAGTAGTAGTAAAGTTGGAAGGGACCTTGGAGGTCATCTAGTCCAACCCCCTGCTCGGGCAGGAAACCCTACACCATTTCGGACAAGTGGCTGTCCAGTCTCTTCTTAAAAACTTCCAGTGTTGGAGCATTTACTGCTTCTGGAGGCAGGCTGTTCCACTGATTAATTGTTCTCACTGTCAGGAAGTTTCTCCTTAGTTCTAGGTTGCTTCTCTCCTTGATTAGTTTCCACCCGTTGCTTCTTGTCCTGCCTTCAGGTGCTTTGGAAAATAGCTTAATTCCCTCTTCTTTATGGCAGCCCCTGAGATATTGGAATACTGCTATCATGTCCCCCCTTGTCCTTCTCTTTGTTAAACTAGACCAGTGGTTCTCAACCTTTCTAATGCCGCGACCCCATAATACAGTTCCCCATGTTGTGGTGACCCCCAACCACTTATACATCACCGGGTGCCAGGGGCATGGCCAAAGAAAAGGGGAAAAAAATGGCGGATAGCCTTGTTTGGCGACCCCTGTGAAATGGTCGTTCGACCCCAAATGGGGTCCCGACCCACAGGTTGAGAACCACTGAACCAGACATACCCAATTCTAGCAACCGTTCCTTACAGTTCCTTACAGTCCCACCACTGTATTGTATCATATGTAATCGATGCCAGTGTATGATATCAAATGTGCATAGAAAAGGATCAGGGCTTAGATTGCATAGCCACAGCCACCATCTTGCCTCTTTTGACTCCTCTGCAGACACTACAGCCAATTGGCTTCAATCCAATTTTGTTCTCAACTGATTAGTTCTAACTTTGCAATCGTGTATAAGCAGTCAGTTGCAAGATACTTTGACATAATTTGAAGATGACAATAGACAGTAGAGACATATACAGACAGTACAGGCTCAAGATGCCTATAGTAAGTTATTGTGCTTTTCTTCAGCTGTCAGGTTTCCTAGTAACATTGGTATATTCCAAATACTAGTCATCATCCTTCATTCACTTTATATATATAGGTTTGTTACTTCTTCAGTTCTGTCACACCCCAACATTTTTTCCTACATATTTTTTAAACTGCCGTCAAAAGAAATCCAACATTAGATAAGTTAAGAATATGCTAATTCATGTAAGAGAAAGAATAAGGTAGGCTCACTGTATTACAAGGATTCCAACTGAATACTTACATAGACAACAGCACAGTGGCAATTAAGGTCCACACTGGAGTTTTGTGAATTATATTTGTATTTGTCAACCTGGGGGGAAAAAAGCCAACATCAGCAATTCTTGCATTTTGGAAACTATTAAGAGCAGAATGGCTCAATAGTTATCAAATAGTAAAATCTGGAATGCAGCAATAAAATACACATCTCTTTATGTCTGATATCCCAATGTATTCGAGGCTTGCATATACCAATTTTTAAGTTACCTAAAACAAGATTGTAGGAAGGATCAAACTAATTTTAAGTTGCTATAGATCATAAAAAGAACTCTCTTTCCACTCTCCATATCAGAAAAAAACTCAAAGGCAGATGTGCCCTTTCTCCAGGGTCCAATTTCCTTCTTTATTTTTATTTATTCATTTAGTTTGCTTACTGAATACATTTGCCTTCCTTCAAATCAAAGGCAGATACTGTAACATGTTGTTTCCTTGTCCTCTGTTTCCTGATCAAAACATTCTTTATTTCAAGATCATTTAGCCTGAGACAGTGACTGAGCTCATGTCTGTTCAACACATTATATGGCTCAATACGATTCGATTCTGTCTTTCCACATGCATGCTCAGACAACCGAGGAACAGTAGGTGCTGAACATCACAAATCAGGAAACCACAAGGTGTATTTTTACGTGGGATGAAAAGCTTGTAGAAGTCTTAATAGACTGAATGAAGAACACTCAGTTTTCAGAGCAAAGAAGAACGAACATAGAAGCAGTATGGGCTCTCTTTATTGGTAAGTGAGCTGTGTTAAAAGTGTCCATGCTGTTCAGGACCTATTGTTCAGGAATATCTAGAAGTCTACAGATTCCACATCCTTACACTGAAGAATTACAAAGTAAAAAATCCTTCAGAATTTGGGCTAAATTAAGTATGTAACTGGAAGGCTTTTGCCTTATTGATGCATTCAGGCCTTATGTGATTAGAAACGAATAAGATAAATAGTGATAAAAAAATAGTTTCAAAACACATTATGGATCAACATTGTCTTGTTAACCATTTAGATATTTATGAAAATGAGCATGTACTGGTAATCTAGTTATTATTTTGAGTGATATAATATTGTAAGTTAAAAGATTAACTTATACTGTAGTAAAGAGCTCTTTCATTAAAAAAAAAATTCTAATAGGTTTTAACCACTAAGTAATAGGCATATGTGAATAACCTGGAATACTGAATTTCCATGTATAGTATCTGTGATGTACGACTTTCACATTTTCTAAAGATAATTATACAGCTTCAGAATTCTTCTGATTTCTTACTCAAACAAGTTTTTCATTGAAAGGCAGATCAAGTCATGTGGCTCACAAGAAATTCAATGCCCTAAATTAACATTTTGTACATAGCATTCATATAGCTAAAATATTAATACAGTTAATATAGTTTGTTTATATAGTTTATATACCCAATATAGTTTACTTAGATGTGACTTAGTACAATAGCACACCTTTTCTTTTATGGCATTCAGTTAAGTTTATTTTTAAAAAGCAGTGTAGCATAGTATATGAATTTAGCCCTAGCTTTTTAAGGGCTGGACTAATGGATCTTACTGACACTTATTATCTGTAACAGCAACCTCAAATGCTTTCCTACTTTTACCAGATTGCAAACATAATAAAATTAGTATGACTGCAGTCAATGATAACCTTCTGCTAATTAATGCCATCCTGACACTACAATTGAGATTTAATCCCCACATTTTACATCCGCACACACTTTCCCAAATCTCCTCTGGCCAGTAGGGAATCTTTAGAATACTCTTTACCTATTCTGTACGTAAGTGATGAAATCAACTATTCTATCTGCAATTCCAGGAAGTAAATGGCCCTGGACTAAAGAGGATTTGCATGAATCTTTAAAAGAGATAAAGAGATCTATTCAATGTGCAGCTTTACATAGTTGGTACTTGCTAAATGGCTCTATTGAGTTTGAGAGTTACAGACAGAAACAAAGGATGAAGGTCTAGATTAAACACTGATGACAGGAGTAAACACTTAAGACAAGATGCCTGACAGAATCATCCTGACAAGCAATTCATATGTAACTTTCCAGTTAAGCTGCCCTGATGAGATGCAATGGAAGAGACAGGCCTCAAATCACTGGGGAGAACTCTGTCAGATAGGAGAGGAAAGCACCTTTTTTCAATGCCCTACAAGGGAGCCATTACTGATCATGGATCACGAAGGAATCATTGTTGTGTTCCAACTCCAAGAAGCAGTTGTTTGTGTCAATTAACTCTTATTAAATGTCAGTATTGATTGGCAAGGTCTCAACACTAGTTGTTGCCATCAATATGGTACTTAATAGCAGAGGAAGCCTGGAGACACCCATAATGTGCTCAATGGAACTGAATACAGAAGCAGATAGTGAGCTAAGCTATCACTAGGCTGGAGAAGCAGTTAGGACTGCCTGGTCAAAAGCTTTTGGCTACAATTTCTGTCCCAGATTAAGTTTGCCCAGTCATCCTACAAAAGCCCTAGTTGCCTGAAGCAAGTAATCCACAGGCATGAAAACCTTGGATAATATGAGCCGAGGTGGCGCAGCAGTTAGAGTGCAGTACTGCAGGCCACTTTAGCTGACTGTGTTCAGCAGGTCAGTGGTTCAAATCTCACCAGCTCAAGGTTGACTCAGCCTTCCATCCTTCCGGGGTAGGTAAAATGAGGATCCAGATTGTTGGGGGCAATGTAAATATATATATATATATACATTGCTTACTGGTGTACACCGCTTAGAGAGTGCTTGCACTTAAAGCGGTATATAAGTCTCATAAATAAATAAATAAATAAATAATCAGCAAAAGAGAGAGGGCAATCACCTTGAAAAATAAGGTGTGTGGAAGCTGAGGTTTCAGAAGAGAAAAAGAATTGGTCAAGAGTACATGCTATGCAGAACAGGTTCACTATAGTATTTCCATATCTTAGCTGCAGATAATGCTCTTTTAGAGTAAATCCACAGTATTGAAAAATAAAAAAAAATCCTCCAATTTTAGAAATGCATGTTTTTATTATGTCAGATTTTTTTTTCAAATGCAAAATATGAGGGTATGTGGAACGTTCCTGAAAGTTTCCAAGCTACACCAAAAATGGAAGCATACCAACAAAAATGTTTGAGCGGATGGAGCTCCCTTTCATTTTGTATATTCTGACTGACTTTATCAGCGTGCCATTGGTTAATTAAAAAAATTGGGTCTAATAAGAGATGCCCATCTCAACATATTTATGTGTTTCCATATAATGTCCATGTGTAAGAGAAACTGAGAACATTCCTCTTGGGACAGCTTGCTCCCTCATATATGGTCTAAAAAGTGAACCACTCCCATAATTGTCTTTCCCTCTCCTAAACACAGGCCTGTAGAATTATATTTATGATCTATAAGCAGATATCAACCAGATCTTTACTCTCAGAAAGGAAGAGGGGGGCCCTTCCAAAGACAAACATATCTGGGGCTACCTGGTGCAGTGCATTTTGGCTCTTCCTTCTCTGTTGTTAACATGCGAGCTTCAAAGAACAACAATTGCAACAGCCCTGTTGCTAATAACACAGCTGCAGCAGTATCTAAAGCAGCCTGTCCATATTTGATGTCTTAAGAGATACTGGACTCCTGTCACCCAGAGGTCAAACTGTCACCAACTGTGCACACCTGGAAATAATGGAAGCTGTAGGCTAAGACTACAGGACGCTAGATTGAAGAATGTTAATCTACAACTGAAGGAGTGAACTTCAGACCTTATAAAACTACACTGTCTTTCAAAGAATCTTATTATACATTTAGTTTATTTGTCAACAGTCTGTGGGCTATCATCGTGGAGAAAAGCAGAAATATATATACTTTACATGCATGAAATATACTTTTGTTCAAATCTAGTTACCTGAAAAGGGGGGAAGACTTGAACCACTTCCCAACAAAATGTTCTGTAGCTATGTCGAATTACAGAACTTCCCTCAGAATTCTCACTCAACATGACTCCTGGTCAATCTGTTGGGAATTCTGGGAACTGTAATCCAATACATTTAAAGGATGCCAACGAGGACACATTGGAGAACGCAGGTTTGAGCACACAAACACACTCTTTCCTAAGGCAGATGTCCTAATTCAATCAATTAGGCAATCAACAATTGAAAGAAGAATATTAATAAAATATTTATAGGATTTAAATATTGACAGTTCTGTCTCAGTGTATACATAACATAACTCTATAATTTACTGCAGCAAAGCAATCATATCACTTCCCAATTAAAATTTCAGACAAATTAAATCTTTACCCCGAAAAACAAAGTTTTATTCAAAAAGACTGTCCCTTCAATAGCAATTAGAAGCATTTAAATAGCAACAACCAAAATCACATTTGCCAACTTCTTTATTCAGCCTGGATTTTGATGTTGTCTTTCCCCTCCTTCCACATCATTTTTCCAGCAGAACACTCAAGACAACCCTGGAGATTATTTGACATCTCAGTTTGTATAACAAAAGCATACAGGCACTGAGGGACTTGGCTAAAGAACTATAACTATCCTAAAATCTCTCCAGAGAACTCTTTAGTGTTCTTTCCAGCAGTAGTGACTGAATGAAATGGTGCAGATCAGAAGATGAAATTTTATGCCCCTTTAAAAACTGATGGAGCTGAAAATTGCTGCTGCTTAGTTTACCACAGTGTTGTTTTTTTTAACACTTAACATTTTAAAGCTGAAACGCCTCCCCCTGCCGCCTCCATTCTAGCTCCAGAAATGACTATGTATTTCATGTCTTACAATAGGACTTTTTCTTGAATTTCATCCGAAACGTTTTCCAGGTCTAATTCTTTTTAATTTTACTTTCCTGTTTGACAGATGGGATAGTTCGTTTTTCCCCTCTTTTTTTTTTTAACAAATGCTTGCTACAGTTTTGAATTTAATCACTTCATAAGAACTAACATGCTTGTCTTTCCCAGAGGAGGTGGGAGAAAAGTACAGTAGCAGGCAAGCAGATCATTAGTGAAAGAAGAAATGAAAACTCTGAAGAGCTAGAGGACAAAAAACAACAGAAAGAACCGTTAGTCCTCCATCATCTACTTCCAAGCTAACATGAGCAAACCCTTCTAGTCTTTTCCATGACAAGCTATTCAAAACCTTGTCCGCACTTTCTTGAGCTCTGTTATATTCTGTGGAGCCTAGAAATAAATTCTGTGGAGCCATACAAGTAAGTATTTTAAAATGTAGAATGAAATGTGAAGCAATTCTCAAGATACTAAACTTTTGCTTTATAAAGCCAGAATCCGTACTGCATATCACTGAAACACAAAATTTTAAGTCTTCCGCATTGTAGATAAAAAGTTTAGGAATATTTGTTTAATTTCAAGCTATGCTGCCTTAAGAAAATTGGTCAGACAATGTCTATATTTGAACTGTAGGATTCTAATTCTTCAGCCACATTCTCATAATACATCACATTTTAGCAAGCATTAATATCTGTCATTGCTTAATAAGTTAAACTTTGAGATTCTTTCATATTATTTTATATTTACCTAAATGTTTTTACAAGATTTCTTAGTTCACTATAAACATCACCAAGAGGAATCTTAAGAGGGTCCAAAACAGCAGGTAAACTGAAACACAAAGGGAGAGAGAAAAATAAAGCAGACTTAGTTAAGTATTAGAATATGCATTTCACATAAATTCCAAATGAAGAGTTTCATTTATCAGTCAATTATATTCCCTTTACGCTTTACCGGATGTCAGCTAAAGCTTAAAATTTTGTCATCTGTCAAACGATCACAAAGACATGAATATATATTATTAATGTATAAGAGATTATTTTGCCAAACAACAAGGAACAATTCTATCTTGCACATGCTCAACATTTCTCATTTGTTTTCTTTTGTGAGTATCCAGAAGAAATGTATGGAACATAAAACAAACAAGGAATAAATCAGGATTTTGAAGTCAGCTATAACAAACTGAAACAATCCAGGATTCAAATCTAATCTGCAAAAGCTAGAACAGTGATAGCAAACCTTTGAGATCGAGTGCCCAAACTGCAACCCAAAACCCACTTATGCATTGTCAGGTGCCGGGTGGGTGTGGCCCATTGGGTGGGCATGGCTGCGGTGGTAACGGCAGACTGGGTGGGACTAAAAAGTTCAATCAATCAATTCCAACTTTGCAAGATCTTTTTTTCCCCCACGAGAAGTTGAAATTGACTGACTGAACCTTTTTTTTTTTTTTTTTGCACACGCGGCGGAGGCCTAAAGCGAAAAGGTTTTATAAAACCCAGCTGAAGGCCTAGGACTGGGGCGACAGCATGCGTGCCAACAGAGAGGGCTCTGAGTGCCGCCTCTGGCACCCGTGCCATAGGTTCGCCACAACTGAGCTAGAAGATTGATTAGCAAAGTATCAATATGTGTTCATGGTTGCACATGGTATTAACAAAGATTTTATTAAATAATAAACCATGGTTTCAATTTACAGTTGTTAAAAATGTTTTTATGATGGGTTGATACATTACAATTAATGGCTCTGAAGGATATAATCTCTTCCAAGTTGACTGTTTTTGTATATTCAGTTTTTATGACTGTATGCCAACAGCTGATGCAAAAAGACGCTTACACTTTCTGAAGCTTTTCAAGCACAATCCGTCTCCGTATCTGCTGCTGAGCTTTAGAATCTACAAGTGGCAAAACGGGAGCCCACTGTTCATTGTCCTAGATAAAGTGAAAATGGCACAAATATGATACAGAGAATATGACACTGAAAGGTTATAATAAATTGGTTAAAATGGTATCTATTTTGGCAAAATGTACTAAGACAGGGCTTTTCAACCTTTTCACCCATTGTACCACTTTTAGGATATGGCAACATCCGAGTACCACCAGTCACCTAGCAAGGGGTCAAACACTTGATGACCAAAAAAAAAAAAAAAAGTAATGAAGTACAGGTAGTCCTCGACTTACAACAGTTCACTTAATTGTTCGAAGTTACAATGGCACTGAAAAACGTGCCCCCCCCCCAAGGCACAGCTGAGCAAGACACCTGCCTGCCCACCCAGCGGTGCTCTTCCTCCTGTCTGAGGTTTTCATTGTTGTGAGCATTTCTGTTGAGGATTGGCAGTGGGGATGGGGTGAGGGGGTGTTTGGTTTTTATTCCCCCCATCTGCTGGGTGGTTGCAGCAGGTTTTGGTCACTTCACATGATCCTGGGACACTGTGACCGTCATAAATATGAATCAGTTGCCAAGCATCTGAATGTAAATCACAAGACCCTGGAGATGCTGCAACATTCCAGCTGATTAATGCTACATCTGGGCTCAGCAAAAGCGTCAGGATCAGCGCCTGGCTCCAGCTTGATCCTGGCGCTTCCACTGAGCCCTGACAGCCCTGCAGCTCCAGCCATCTCTTGCTCAGACTTGTGCGGTGCTACCACCGGTTCAGCTCATTCCCCTCCCCCACTACCACTTTTCTAGGATGGTTGCGTACCACCTGCCAGGTGCCAATGTACCACAGGTGGTACTCGTACCACTGGTTGAAAAGCCCTGTACTAAGACCACCACTGGTAAATTATCGACCAAAGTGACTATCAGTATAGAAGACACTGAATAATTATGAACAACATGAACAACAAAATGAACAATTTGAACAATGGCAAACAAAAAAAAGCTTCTTAATGGGATCCATCAAGGATTAATGGACTTGCGGCTATTCTTGAAAAAATTAAAACAAAAAAACAAAAAGAAAAGCCAGTTTGATCTACCAATTAAAGTATTGGCCTAGAAACCAGGCAACCGAGAGTTCTAGTTCTGCCTTAGCCATGAAAGCTGGCTGGGTGACTTTGGACCAGTCACTCTTCTCTTAGGCCAACCCACCTCCATAGGGTTGTTGTTGTGGGGAAAATAGGAGAAGGAAGGAATATTAGGTACTTTCTTCATTTCTTTTATAAATACCTTGAGTTGTTTATAAAAATAATAAAGATGGGATAAAAAAATACATTTAAAAAATTTGCAATACCACTTCAAGCTCAACTTGATCAACATACAATTAATAAATCAACTTAAAACAACAACAGGCAACTTGAACCGAGATTCATATTATACTCCCCCAAGGAGAAACTCCCATCAACTTGGCCCCAACACCTGAAGGTTGAAATTATAACCACTTCCTTTATTTTCAGGATACTTACTTGAGACTTCCCATTCTGCTGTTCCCTTTCCAATTGCATTGCCAAATCCTCCTCTTCAAGGACAGTGAACTTTCCTTTGTAAAATTCCCTCACCTTTAACTCCAACTGTGATCTCTCTTTTTTTAATTTTTCAACGCTAGGTAACGGTTTGGCAGCTGTCCTGGCATCCTGGGAAGGCAAAGACTGATCTAGGCTGTTAAAAGAGTGCTTTTGGGATGCAGTTTCACTGCTATTAGCGCTTTCCAAATCATCTTCATCAAGCTCTTCCTTCTCAGGGTCATTTGCCTGGGTGCCCTGCAGGAGACGACTAGTGGTTCTGTGAGAGCCATGGAGAAGCTTCAGCGTCTCCTCACTTCTCCAGTCAGTAAATGTCTGCCTGAGGCTCTTTAACAAGCCATCTTTGGCCGCCATGGATTCTGCTGGACTTCTGACGGACAGTTTTGATTTAGCAAGTAACCTTTTAAATTGGTCTGACCCTTTTTGACTCACTCCCAGAAACACTACTGGGGAGCAGCTACGGTTGTTTCCAAGATTTTCAGAGACCTGTACCTTTTCAAGAACGTTCTGGGAAAGGCAAGGTTTCCCCCCCGGAATATCATCAGGAAAAACGTGCTCTTCTTGTAGAACATCGGATGTGCCTTTGTTTAGTTGGGCTGAAGTCTTGTCAAGTGTGTCCTCTGTGGTGAAGAGCTTAGGCTCTGCTCTTTTGGTAGGGCTTTTTTTAAGGATGCCCTTGAGGGGCTTCCCAGCCAATTTCTCTGTATTTGAAAGATTCTCTTGTAGAACAGAAGAAAAAAACTCCTGCTCAGCATCACTGTTGCTTTCACCGCCTGAATCAGAGTTGTGAAGGATTTCTGCAGGAGTAGGATTTTCAATGTCTAAGGCTTTAATTCTTTCACTAACTAATTGTATTTCTTTCCCAGAGTAGCCACTATCAATAGAAATAAAAATGACAATAAGAAACACAGACAGTAATACATAAAAGGTATGTTTTAAAAAGCACTTGACTGAACACAAGTAAATTGTGCACTAGATGAAGACCTATGTCCTTCTGCCTAAAGAAGCTGGAAGTACACGACGTGGAAGTCAGATATGCCATCATGTGACCTGCTCTTCTTTGGGTTTCCTGACATAATTATAATCTACAGCCCTGTGTTTAGGCTGGCTAAAGGAGAAAGAGTAGAGCCTGTACAGTAAGAACAATCAAAGAACAAGAAGGAAAAGAAGGAGCAAATTTGGACTTGGTGATAGACCTTTTCTTGTTAATGTAGCAGTGAGATTATTCTTTTAAAAATCTTCCTTTAGCCTAGGGGTGTCAAACTCAATTTCATCGAGGGCCACATCAGCATTGCGGTTGCCCAGGGGAGGGTGTGTGGCCAGGGTGGGTGTGGCCTACTGGGTGGGCATGGCCAGCTCTACATCGTTCCCATTAAGGGTGCCTGTGGGGGCCTGGGCAGGAGTGGGACAGATCTGAGGGTCTCTGGTAGAAGGGGGTGGGACCGGGGCAAGCACCAAGGCATGGTCCATTTCTTCATTCCTCACAAAGGGTGACACCTCCCCAGCATGCACCCAGGGGGCAGGGCCAACGCGGCAGGGGCCGATCCCTTGCTGTTTCCAGACAGCCTTGTGGAGCTAAGACTGAACGTGTTTCAGCATAGATGGCCACCACAAAATTGTACATTGGCTCCTGGCTGGCCTGGGCCAGGGCCAAGGCAGCAGGGGCCGTTTCCCTCACTGTTTCCAGGATGGCTTCGCGGGCCACATGAAACCACTTCGCGGGCCGCATCCAGCCCCCAGGCCTTGTGTTTGACATGTCTGCTTTAGCCAGTTCACATAACGTTCACTCTCCCTCCCTCCCTCCTACTGTGATGTTAAAACAGATAGTTGGAGTTGATGTTGGCTTTTAGTAGTTTGGCTATTTTAATTTAAAGTAATTGTAATACTTGGACTTTAAAGCTAAAGAGGATTTTTTAAATATCTTTATTTTTTCTAACAAAATCTTTAATCTTACAAAAAAAACCTGAAAAAATTAAAAATACTAACTGAAGATACAAATTACAAAAGAAAAAAAAAAGCATTTTCTCATTAGTGCTACACCCCAGCTAACTGGGAGCTACCTGGTAAACTGTGCCCAATCTTGTTCTGCCCCTTCATTTCAAAGTGCAATTTTCTTTTCCTTTCCATACATTCATGCTGCCTTTACTATTTTATTCTCCCTTTGTAGTATAGCTTGTATTTTACTGTCTGTACAGTACATGGACAGTTCCTGGCAGATGCTTAAATAAATAATTTGGCCCCACACACATTAATGAAGCTGTCAATGATGAAAACTTCAGAGATGTAAATATTTAAGTTTTATTAAATAAAATAGGTTTGTGAGGGAATGAGTACTGCCAAATTGCTGAGGATAATAGAATCTCTGGAAATTGAACTGGGTAAGTTTAATTTTTAAACTTTGCAGACCTTTGTAGAAATTTCTTTAGTGATTTTTATGTGAAATGCTTTAGGTGGAAGGATTATTGCAAAATAAGTTTGGTTTAGGGCTTTCTTTCAACCATTCTTGAGAAAAAGGAAAAACGATTACAAAAACTTTTAAATTCAAACTGTCTCCAGCTAAAATGCTCAGTTCTGAATTCAGATTCCTTTTTTTTAGACTTACTAGCAGCGTTTCAATGCTGTTCTGGCCTTGAAACCTGTTTCAAGCAGAAGCTGTCAACATAAGAGTTAAAATGCTTCCAGTAAACTTTGGATAACCCATTTTGATGTAAAACCAGGCTGTTTTAGGATCAAATCTATACTGAACATGAAGCATTTTGCACAGGAATACAAGGAGCAACTTTATGATTCACAGCACACAAGGCTCAACTAATCAATCATCCAGACCTTAGATTTAAGCAAGGGACCATGCAAGTCTTTATTAGCAGAAGCATCATCAAAGAATAATTAATCAATTATGGTTAAAAATGCTTTGCTCTATTTAGAGAATAATAGTAACAGCAGCAGCAGCAATGTTTTATCTCTGGGTGACTAGAATTTTATAACTGAAAATCTCTAAAAACCTAAATAATTTATCCCTATAGCATAGATGCTCAGTTGTCTCTATCGAATTTGCTTCTTCTGGGAATAAATCATTCTACTTAGTATCTGAATGAGTCAATTCATCCCCCTACCGAAATTCAATGGAACTACCCATGTTCACATTTAAAAAAGAAAACCCATCTAAATCACTCATTCTCCAGTCTTCAAGAAAATAAACTGGACAGAACATTAGCTACGAAATGGACTTTTTCTTCGACCTAACTTACGTTTAAGTATTTGTTTACACTGTGTAGTGTCATTATAAATCTTAACACAGTGGATTTTACTGGAAAAAGAAATAACCTTCTCTGGGTGATTCTCACACTCGGGTTGTGAGTGCTAACAAGTTCATGCTAACAAAATGATACCATCTATGCATCAGGAAATATCAACAGATTTGGAGAAAGGCCATGGTTTGGGGAAGTATGAAAACTCTTCCCATGTTATGTGAAAATCAAAAAGGTCAAAGAATGCTCATTGTTATGTCTCAAGGGTCAAGAGACTAGGAATGATCTGACAAGACCACAGCTGATGAACACGACCTTAAGAGAAACCCTCAGCACTTCTTTTTATGCTTTTCCAGACAAAGAATAAAACATTTAAATGAAAGCTCAGATTCAGGCTGTTCTACAAACCTGCAGTTCCAATGATGAAGGAGTTCCAGATTTCAGAGGAACGTGAAAACCAGATTCTTCAGCAATGGAGGTCAACCACAGGAATTACCTGGATCTTCATCCTTTTTAAGGCCTTACAGTTTTTATATCAAGTAATAAGCATATAACTGAATTGTCCAAGGTCTAGAGCAGGGGTCTTCAAACTTGGGCCGCTTTAAGACTTGTGGACTTCAATTCCCAGAATTCCTCAGCCAACCATGCTGGCTGAGGAATTCTGGGAGTTGAAGTCCACAAGTATTAAGGCGGCCAAGTTTGGAGACCCCTGGTCTAAAGAGTGCCTTGCTCTGTCCAAGCTCAAACCAGCCTTGTCTAAATTTACCCTGTGCTGACTTGCTTGAGGGTTTCTCAGTATGGTCAAAACACTCAATGTTGAAAATGCAGGAAGGGGTGAAATAGAATGGAAAACAGGTGGCGTGGTTTACATAGCTTTAAAATTAGAAACAAAAATAGAGGAGAGCAAGAGTCTGGCAACGACCACGCTGTGTTAACTTCATTGGGAAAACAGAAAGGTTATTTACATGGCATCAAACCAGTGGCAAAGTAAGTGCCGGTTACCCTTTCTTTTTTTCTTTTTTGCCAGAAGAGAGTTCCATAAACAAAATACCAATATCTGAATCTTGAAAACCATGATTTTAAATACACTGGTTTTAATCCTACTTTATAGATCCAAGCAGCACTATTATTTCATCAAAAAGCATACCAGGATTTCCCACCTCCACATTACAATGCTAGCACAGTATGTACTGTGAATTGGCTTTGTATTTTAAATGCAGACAAGAAAGACTTCTAGCAAACGCAGCCATTCTATTAAAACCCAGATTGCAGATACAGGCAAAGCTTGCTTTTTTTTAAAAAAAAAAAATACAGCACCAAATGGACCTATTTATTTAATGTATTGTCTAAAGATGTAAACAAGCTTTCAGCACATATAATTGGCCCCCGTTTCTTTTACAAAGAAACTGCTGCAGCGGACCCAAGAGCAAACACTGTACTTGTGTCATGTTTCAACAGGTTCGATTACACCATTAAGGCCAGGTGAAAATCATACAGATCAAACAAGCTTTTCAGACTGGAAAAAAAATACCCAACTAATCAAGGCAAGCAGCAGGGCTCTGTGGGGGACGAGAATAATGGTGGCTATTTTACAGAGAAGCAGAGAGTAGGAAATCAGAGATGTCATTCAACTGTATTGCAGCTCTGAAAATGGAATTATGATTTTCACCCTACCTTGACTCTTTCTTTAGCAGCTCAATCGTCGGTGGTCTTGAAAGAAAGAAAGAAAGAAAGAGATACATTCTGTGACAATTCTGATTGTGATCATGAATGGACTCATTTAAATTTTGCATGAGTTTGGTTCTGCAACAAGCTAGTAAACAATATTAATCAATTGTATTTTTTTATTTATGGATCAGTTATTCAAAGATTACTCATTTGGCTTTGCAATCATTTTTAAGGCTGTAATGAACCTGAAAATGTGGGGAACTGATAATTAAAATTAACACATACATATAACATTCAGATTAATTAAAATGACACAAATTGTAGATGCAACCTAATGCATATTTATACAGACGCAAAGATGTATAATAATCAAAAGGTTTATTTCCTAGTGTGCATGATTAGGATTGAAGCTTGAATCTTAGGCTTAGAAACAGCTGGAAACTACGAATGCTTCTAATGTTCCAAAATTATTTCTACCTTGTTACATATCTCAGGTCTGTTGTCTGTCCTGGTTATTTGTTCACTAAAGCTGCTTCTCTGAACTCCAAGAAAATCATAGACTTGGAAGGAGCTGCCCTTTTGCTCAAGACAAGAATCCCATTACGCTATCTCCAACAGATTACTATCTAGGCTTCCCATGATCAGAATCAATTAAAAGTACGTAGTTCATCATCCCTTTGGATTACTTTATTTATTTCATCAAATTTAAAAAGCTGTCCCAGCCAATCAACTCTGGATACTTACAATAAAATCAACAAACAAAATGGCACGAACCAATAAAGCTATAAAAGCTAAAAACAAGTTAAAGCCAGATAAGAAAACCACCGGGGAAATTGGGGAAAGGGGAGACCTGGGGAAAGAGCCAAATCTTCAAGGTTCAATGAATGAACGGGATAAAGGACAATATGAACCTCTGAGCAGATGTCATTCCAGAAGGCAGGCACCATGACAGAGAAGGCGTGCCATCTAAGATCCCATTAGATGACACTACAGGTAGTCCTCACTTTACAACTGCTCTGTATCATTACCAAATCATTAAAAATAATGATGGACCTGAAAATGTAAGCTCATGACTGATCCTCGCACTGCAATTCAACCGTTGCAGTGTTTTTGCTGTCAGGTGATTAAAATGTGGGTATTTTGCAAGCATTTATGACTGTCACAGCATCCTGCAGTTACATGACCACCATTTGCAAGCTGGCTTTCCAGAAGCAGACCCAGTGGGAAATCTGGCAATGAAATTGCAACTTGCAGTCATATATTCTCACTTAACAGCATTGCTTTGGTGGTGGAGTTGCTAGTCCCAACTGGGATCATATTTTAAAGCTGGGATCTCTGCACCATGCCTGCTCTGCCTAATCTTACATAGTAGGCAGACATAACTGGGGAAAGATGAACCATCAGGTAACCAGACTTGTATCCTGATCACAGGTCACAGCCAGCATTCTGAATTGCGCCCACAAGCCCACTGGTAACCAGTGCAACTTGTGCAGTACACTAATCACGTAGGCTTACCAAGGCTTGGCCATAAAGGCCCGCTCTAGCTAGGTACAGTTTCCAAGTGATTTTCAAGAGAAGCCCCATGCAGAGGGCTTTGCAATAGCGCAAATGTGACATGATTAAGACACCTCACATTTAAGAGATTAAGTGACGTTGAAAAGGGAATTCTGACAAGGATGAAATTAGCATATCATGTTAATCTAGGCCAGGGGTAGGCAACCTTGGCTCTTTTATGATTCGTGAACTTCAACTCCCAGAATTCCTGAGCCAGCTTGGGAGTTGAAGTCCACAAGTCATAAAAGAGCCAAGGTTGCCTACCCCTGGTTTAGGCGAAGGCCCTTATGGCTTAGACTTAGCTTAACACTCTTCTAGGCGTGAAGGGGGGAAGTGAACCTTTTAAGAAATAAATAGCTTCTGAATACCATGATTATCTTGAAGATATTTCTGGAACAATCTAACTAAAATAAGATTTTTCTCTAACTTGAAATTTCAAATTTAAAAGGATTGTTTCAATTGCACAGGCATCTAGTAGAAAAATAGTTATTTTTAATTTTATAATATTTATTTTTGCTGTTTTTGCGATGCGATAAGATTTCGAGTTCTACTCATTAAATCTGTATGGCTTTATTTCTTGGTAACAGATATCCCTTATGATACATTGACACCCAGTGGATACTGGGTTAGTTGCAAGTCATAATATTTTAGCTTAGTCATAACACCATTCTTACATTATTGGACAGCTACAGGCAAAGGACACTGTTCACCTATTTTGTTTTTTTCTATCATTATATGAAAGGGAAAGAAAAAGGGATAGGAAATACAGGAAGATAATTCCTAATGGAACAAATATCTAGTTCTCCACAACCCCTTTAAATTTTTATGAATTATTATATACAAAAAATGCTGCATGTGGAAGCATTTTAAAGATGAGAGTCCTTGTTTGGTATCATCACTAAAATTAGAACAACTACTCCAATGTGATTAGGGAAGATAATCCTGATTTTCAGGTGAAAAGGTCTTATCTAGACTTTAGATAAGGCATGGTTTCCAAATCAAGCAGGACAGTACTGATTACCATTTCCCTGATCGTTGTTGATAACAAATAGTAAAACAGTATTTGACCCCAATTCTCTGCATCCTTGAGGAACGTCTCTCCCTTGCCTTTTTAATTATCAGATCGATCACCAATACTTAAAATGGGTCCTTCCCCTCTGTACCTAACCACAGCACGAACATGCCCTGACAATATCATTTTTCTGCCATGTCTTCATAACATTGCCTTCATTTTGCCTTCAGTCCACGGATAAGAAATGCTTAAATCATCTTTAGATGCACCAATGGTAAATCAGTAGTAACAGAAATATTTTCTCCTATCCAGGGCAGGCTGAAGATGTAATACAATCTGTTATACTACCATACTTTGGATAGAAGTCAGATAATGATCTAAAACAGTGGTTCTCAACCTGTGGGTCGGGACCCCATTTGGGGTCGAACGACCATTTCACGGGGGTCGCCAAACAACGCAGTCCGCCATTTTTTTCCCCCTTTTCCTTAGCTGTGCTACTCCCTTTTATTCTATTGGCTTTTGAAAGCCAATAGAATAGACTCTCTTGAATAGAGTCTAATTCTATTGGCTTTCAAAAGCCAATAGGAATTGTCCAGGCTGTCTCTGCCCTGCTGAGCCCGCCAAAAGTCCCATTCTGCAAAAGGTGCTGCACCAGTTGAGTAGTCCTCGACTTACGACCGGTTGAGTAGTCCTTGACTTACGACCGGTTGGGGTTGCAGCATTAAAAAGGTTGAGAACCACTGACCTAAAACAAAAACAATCAATATAGGCTATGGATTGGCAAACCATTAAATAGCAGTCTGTTTAGCCATAGTTAAGGGATGTCTTTACTCAGCTTTGGCTGGTATGTCAGCTTTACAACCCTAACTGGACCAGGATGCATTGTAAGCAATACTTTATACCCTGAGCACTGCTCAGTTCAAGTTTCAGGTCTGGGAAAATAATGGGTGGGTTCATGTATTATGTACTTTTAGTAAGTCACAACAGCCTGAATTCATACAACATGCTAAATGAGATCAAATTATGGTTTAAAGTGAAGTAAATCTATGTTAGGAAGCCTGAAAGATTGCTACCAGGCGGACTAATACTAGATTCTAGTGAAACCCATAATGTAAAATTCTGACTTGTCATAAAGCAAATTCAGGGGACTTTTTTTACATGAAGTCTCATCTAATATGGATGATGATGATGATAATGATGATGATTATAGGGATCTGCTATTTAAATATAAACATACTGATTATCAATAGAACCAAGTTTTGATTAAATTATATGGATTATATTCTTTGACAAATAAAAACTATTTTTCTTATCTTTCTGTTTTCCTATTAACATTCACCAACATCTGTTTTTTCCCATTAACAGCAGTGCAGGTCATCAAATTCCTAACATTAAAAAGTAGCAATTAGCCTAGAGAAAAAAAAAATCTAAAATATACATTGGTCAGACAGGACAATCTTTAAAATCAGTGCATGAACTTTTGAATTTCTAAAAAAAATCAGAGGAAGAAATATTAGCTGTCTAAATACCTTTCTTCTTCTCGAAACCATACTGGAGTTTGGGATATTTGGCCCTCGAAGTATTTTGATGCTTTGTAACAAAAATTGCTGCAAAAACGCTGCTCGGGACAGCAAGAAGAACAAGAACTATTATTTCCTTAATGTAACAAAATTGAGATGAAGTGCAAAGTTCAATGGAAAGGTGAGTACAAAGACTCAATGCACACATTTTTGGAGAAAGGGATATTCTCCCAAGTATGGTTTAAACTAAGATAGTCAATTCCCATTAAAGCTAGAGAAAATAATTTTCCTGAAACTTCTAAGAGTTATAGCCTACCCACTTATGTATGTATATTCTCAGACATGTTAATTTAGCACCTTTTGAGTTTTTTTCTCATTTTTTCCCAGTCACTTCTACAATAGTGAGAAGACAGAGATCAACATATTACAATATATCAATTTTTTTGTCTTCATCTAGTTTCTCCCCTTAGTTCCTGGTAGGTTTTTCTAGGAGCAGCATTCCACATACCAGACAAAGTACCAGCTGTATTTTATTCAATGTGCATGTCAATTATTCCAAAGGCAAATTGTGAATAATATGGAGTGCTTTAACTAAAGTCTGCCACTATAGTTTGTTCTTGGCCAATATGCTACAGCAATGACCTGCTGTTCAAACCAGTGGATAGTTTATTCTCTGTCCCTGGGCAGAGGATAGCTAGCAGTTGCTGCAAAATGAAGTTTCTGCAGCAGCATCTCTTTTGCACCAAATGTGATTTTACACACTGTACAAGAGGTGAACTGGGCAGACAAGTGATTAATATTCTCTTACCGTGAACATAGTGAATCCAACCCTAATCAGGTTATTGCACTCTTCTTGGTTCAAAAACAGAATTTCTTGGCCAAGAAAAAGGCAAACAATGGCAATTGCTATTTGTCATGTTATTTGGGAAATAGTCAGTAGTTAAGTGTTATGTCTACGGTAAACCATGTTAAATGAGGTATCAGCCTTGGTGACATGCACATCTAGGTTTCAAATGTGAGGACCAAGTTTCAGCTTATATGGAAGTGTTCATGTCTGCAGTTCCCTGATGCTTACAAGTAACTTATACTAATGGTTAACTAGTTAATGACATTACACTTTAACTTAAGAAACAAAAGAGGCTGCTTGCCACTCCTTACTTGAAATTTACCAGCCTATATAGGGCTACTCTTAAAAAAAGAAAGCATGCCATCCACTCTTCCATTTCTCCAATATCAACTGATATTAAAAGAGCAGCAAAGCAACATAATGAAATTATTTTCTGATCTGGGTTTATGTCAAGTCACATTTACTTGTTGATTTAGCCACAGACATTATAGTTTGTGGCTTAGTTTTTGAAGGTGATCCCAGCCAATAAACTATCACTGAGCAAACTATGATCTGGTGCAATATACAAATTCAGCCAATGTTTATTTGCTCAAGTTAAATACTGTCTGACAGTATCAACTTACGTTAGCTTATTTTAAAAGATATTTAGGCGACACAGCTTTGAATAACCTGGGAATGGAAAGAAAATCCAAGCACATTGGTAGACAAATGTAGAAAAGAAAATCAAACTACAATGGCAGACAAATTGACTGGAAAAACAGTTAAGTGAAAATCAGGAGAGGAAAAAAAGCTGTGTGGAGCTCATGGACATAGCCAAGGTTTCTTTGCAAGCTCCTTCTTGTGGAACAATACATGAAATACAGTAACTTTGGGAATGGCAAACTTACCTTTCTTTCAGTAATATCATATACTTTGTTTGTTTTGGTAGAAATTTTATACTTTTGTTTTGGCACCTTAAAAGTAAGAAATGCAAAGAAGTTAACTTGATTAACTTAGTTCAGCATTCTTCTCCTTCCAATAATATATTTATCACAGTTTAAAAACCACCATACTATCTTTAATCTCATTCAATTACGTAGACACTGTTGGCTTAGATCAGAGGTCCCCAAACTTTTGAGCACCAGGGACCGGTTCTGCAGAGAGGTTTTTTTTGTTTTTTGTTTTGCAAACCGGAAGGTGCATGGTTTCATGTATTGCCTGCATCCCACAGATGGGACTTTGCTTGTTTGTGCGGCCCGGTTTCTGGCATGCCATGGCCCAGTGCCAGTCTATGGACCCAGGGTTGGGGATCCCTGGCTTAGATGGTGCAATGATCTAACTACATCACTGGATTCGTACAACCTAATAAACTGTAATATGGTTTTGCTGTTTAAGCCACAGCATGACATGTATATCCAGCCAAACAGTTAACAATCCCAATTAAAATCATAACACAATGCCTGAAGCCTTGTAGGTTCTACAAAACTATTGTTATGTATCATATGCATTTGAATAACATTAAACCATTTGGAGCCAAAGCTTCTGAGCCCCTCTTTCTTCCAGTCATGCTAAATATCAATTTAACTTAATTTAATTTGGGGCAGCCCTAATCTCTACATAGGGAAAAGAGTGGCAGAGTGAATTTCAATTGACTTCATTCAACCTAGGGCAAAATAAGCAAAAATCTAGTATGAAACAATTCCTTAGAAGCAATACATTTTGAATAAAAAAAATGGCAAGAGCACCCACCCAACGCATAAACTCTTACATTCTGTAGCTTATTTTGACAGAGTGGGTAGCCACATAACTTGACGATAAATCTTTCTTCCACCACATCTTGATAGTGAGAAGGTGTTATAAGCCTCCCCTGAAATGATGAAACCAAGAGGATCCTGTTAAACTTACTTTCATGTGGTAATAAATGCAAAGTTTTAGAATTCAGGAGACTCTAAAAACTAAGAGGATATTTATTTAATATAGCACAATATTTCTAATCCGTTCAATAGTCAAAATTCAACTGGCAAATCCCAACAATTTCAGTCCTACTCTTTTTTTTAAAAACAAATACATATTTAAGTTAAAGCATTATGTCTCCCACAGAGAAAGGACCCTGCCCAAATGTTCTAAAGGTGCTTTTTTCACAAGGCAACAGGACTTTCTTGTTTTTCTTCGAAGATGTTTCGCTTCTCATCCAAGAAGTTTCTTCAACTCTGACTGGATGATGGGGAATGGCAGGATTCTAGTGCAAATGGGGTTGGAGCCATCTTGGAACTGTTGAAAAGACTGTATTGTAGACTGGAGATAGATGATGTTGTATCCCTCCCCCTCTGTTGAGAGAAGGCTGTTCAAGTTTGACATAGATGGCCTCTGACCCCTCTTTCAAAATCTGGACAGAAAGGAGCGCACTACTCAGGTGACCCCGATGACGCAGATAAGTCTCCAGAGGCTTCAATAACTGGCTAAAAGAATGCAAATAACCAGCTGTCTGCAAGGAGTATAAATCCTGCCATTTCCACACCATCCAATCAGAGCTGAAGAAGCTTCTTGGATGAGAAGCGAAACATCTTCAAAGAAAAACAACATCATCACATTCAAGTGTTTAATATTTAAACCAGCCTTTTCCTGATGTATTGGGAATCCCAAGAAATGTAAAGAAAAGTAAGTTTAGGAAAGAACATACACAATCCACAAAGAATTCTTTGGTAATATCCTCTTCCAACAGGTGTTCAACAACTTGCTGTGCTTTCCGCTCATACTCAATTTTTTTCCTAATGGCAGCTTCAAGTGCTGCTTTCCTAGAAATGAATAAGGATTTAACAATGTATATAATAGCTTGACAATTCATATCAATTTGCTTAAAAACTTTTGTTTATTTAGATATTGTATTTTATTGGAATGTTATATTCATTACATAAAACTATCCTTCTGTTAGGTTTATTTTGAAACTTGGTTTGAATTTTCTGTTATGCTTTAGAAAAATGGCTAGCAGCTAAACACAAAGGGGCCTGCCAGTTAGGATACATTTAACCTCTCCAAAATGCATTCACAAAGATTATAGCAGGATCCAACAATCTTCTAGAAACAAGGCTGGTAATAAGCAAACTGGTTAAATAAATTTAGAGTGTAATTCTATAATCACAAACTTTTGAGCAAGTCTCCCACACAATTTACAGGGAGCTGTCTTTGAATAAATAAGTCCCCAAAGACCCACAAATGTATTTGTGTGGTAATAAACCATTCTCTATAAAGGCCTTATCTAATGTACAGATAATCTTCAAGTTACAATTGTAATGGAACCTGTCCCATTACTGTTGCACAACAATTTGGTCACGTGACTGACTCACTGTTATCTTTTCTGCGGTGGTTGGTAAGCAAATGCAGCAGTCGTAGGTTCGAATGCTGCCGTCATTAAGCAAATGACGTGGTCATTAAGTGAATTTATCATTCTCAATGGAGCAATTTTGCTGAAAACCAGAGATGCCAGTTTTCGGCAAAACCATTCTAAATAACAGTCATATGACCCCAAGGCACAGCAAATGGCTGTGTTGCTAAGCACCTGAAGAGTCCTTAGGTGACTGTGAGGGGGTGACCTTCAGAATTTCATATCCAGGTCGCAAGTCCCCTTTTTCAGGTAGGTTGTAACTTTGAGCAATCCCTAGGTGACTGAAGCTGAAGCCTACTATAAGCTCCCTGAGCAATGGGGACAGTTAAGACAAGTAAATCTCGTTATCATGCTTGGATAGTTAAGACAAGTAAATCTTGTTATCATGCTTGGAATTATGATACTTCTATCTCTACAATATTATAATGTAGCAGTCAAAATGATAAGAGGAGGCAGTCTACAGTCTCAAGACTCTAACTGCAGAAAACTGAATTTTCTTACACTTTTAAGATTGGAAACAACCCCAAAAAGAAGTGTCAAACCTTTGTTGTAGAACAGAACCCATTCAAAACTCCAATCAAAAAATCTGCTTTTTTCACAAGTGCATATGGCCCTTGTTCACTACAATATTCAAGATGAAGGTATCCAGGTTCAATTTCTCAACCAACTAGGGGAGTCTGAACCACAGAATCACAGCTCTTTGAATCCCAAGCATCTTCTCTGCACCAGCTCCAGCTCCAAATATCTGCACGTGACAACTTTAGGGCCCCTAAATATCTCTAGGCTCTTTTATATGACTATTGGGAGGATAACATGAAAGGAGATCCCTGGAACTCTTTAGAAGTCCGGACATAGGTATAAACAAATAATATTTATAAACATTACCTTTCAGCAGCATCTTCATTTTTTAAAGATGGTTTGTTTCCTAATATAAAGAACAACAAGATATTAAGAACAAATCGCAGAAACCAGGAGATGGTGAGTTTTAGTCCCACTTTTGGTATAAAAAAACAGCTGGGTAACTTGGGGCCATTCTCTCAGCCCAATCCACCTCACAGGGGTGTTGTTCTTGGACAGAGGTCCCCAACGTTTTGGGCACCAGGGACCGGTTCTGTGGAGAGAGGTTTTTCCGCAGACCGTAGGGGGCATAGAAAAGAGTTGTATTTTTTTTTTTTTAATAATAATAAAAACAAACCTAAGGATTTGCGATCACTTCTCCGCGCTTCTTCCGCCATCATCCGGGTCCTTTTCGGCGTTGATCTCTCACCCCCGGTGGGACTGGCTTGGCGGAGGCGGAGCTTGAAAGGAGGCGGGGCGGTAGGAGATGCTCATGGGGAAATGCGGTGGCTGCTCATACTGAGCGTGCGACCGGCGGCTGCGGAGGTGGGCAGGCAGGCGGCGACGACGACGACGGCGGCAGGCGTTCCCTCTTTCCTCGAGCCCCACACGGACACGGTAGGGAGGAAGGAGAAGGAGGCTATGGGTCTGGAAGGGGAGGGAGGGGTGTCAGCTAAATTCCTCTCGAATTTACGAAGCAGGAATGGAGGGGGGCGGGGGACAGAAAAGTCCTTTTGCAGGCAGGACAGTTTTCATCAAGGTGTGTGTGCCTCTGTGCAATTGCAGTGCTATCTGTCAGACCTTGAGTGAGTAAAGTACCGGTGAATGGTTTTGTCCTGATTTGTCTGTGTGTGCATTGATTTTATGCGAAGTAATTGGTTTTCTCGGGCAGTTTTGCTTCCCAGAGTCCATTGGAATTGGAGAGCCAATAAATTTAAATAATCATAATAACGCCTTGCAGTGTTTTCACCAACCAGCAGAAAAAACTTCCCCCAGTCATAGACTTGCAGCAAGGTTTGGCTCTGTCCAGTCTTCTCTAAGCTTGTTAATCTGCTCCCACCCATATCCCATGTGGGCATTTTCCAAGTTAAAAACACTGTAAAATAAGGATACACATAGAAAGATACTAAGGTCAGAATTGCCCCAATGAGGAGGGAATGGAGTTCTGCCAGGCTAATTAGGTCTTGTGGAAAAGGAGAAGTAAAACTGATTAGCTTCTGGGCAGCCTTATTGTTATTCCAAGCTGGGGGTAAGAGATTAAAATTGACAGATAAGATTAGTTTAACTTCCCTATTTTCCAAACACTGTATTAAGGAATATCTGGGTTGCTGCATTTTATGTTAGATAAATTTTAAAATATTTTAATGTGCAGGGATTTTAGAGAAATCCTTTTCTCTAAATGAAATTATTAAACAAATTTATATGGCTGTGACTTCTGTGTAAAGGTTTGGTCTCGGTGCTGTTTGAAGTGTGGAGAAAAATTGGTGTCAAAAGTAGTGCATATTCACACATGGGTGGTACAGTAATATGTCAATAAGTAGGCACCAACTACTTATTGAATGTTGTAAAGACTGGGAAAATATGGTTTTGATAAAGACTGATTGGAGACCAGAGTGGAAGAATTATGTCTGCCTCTTCCAACACTGCCAAACCAACCCTTTGGTCATGTTTAAAATGAGCCAGCTGACTTTCCTTCTGGAAAACTGAATGGTGATTTTACACACCTTGATGTTATTGTTAGATGATGCTGGACTAAAAAGTAGCATGCTAATTTTGTATTTGTATTGTAACTAAAAATCTGTGGCCAAGTCATTCATGGACTAGAGATGGAACAAGGACAGTGTTGTGGAATCAAAATGGGAAAATAGTACTATCAAAGTAAGATTGTGTTGTCTTAATGGCAGATGGGAACAGGCCCAAAGAGTAGATTTCTTCGCAGTGTAGCTGATTTTCCCTTAATTAGCTTTCTTTGCCTCAGTAAGCTTCCACATCTTTAATTTTCCTATTCATGAGTTGAAAGAAAGTCTTTGTATTATTTTTTTTTAAATTGAAATTGTGTAAATTTCTTTGGTAAAGGCATTGTGACTGTAATTGATTGAGTAGGCTTATATAAGGCTATTAGCCACTGCTTGCTTGGAAACATATCCTGTTTAATTCAAAGGTTAAGGCTGGTCTACATTATTTTGTAAGTGTGAAAGAGGTTTCAGATTTCTAATTGCTTTATCAGATGCTGAATCTTGTTTTCTGAAATGAGATAAGATTTCTTCTGTTATCCTTTCCTGGTATTCAGGATATGCAATCTTTTGAGTTAGGAAATTTGGAAACTTGAAACCCTAGGGCAGGGGTGTCAAACTGCCCACCCCATTGCTGGCATGGAAAAAAAGTTTGACATCCCTGCCCTAGTGTGAGCACACTCACATTTCCCTCAATGAAGGTTTGCTTATCTACAAATGCCTGGGAGGAGGGAGCATGGTCAACCATGGAACAAGTTTTGATTGGAAAACAAATTAGCTCCCTTGGATGCTTTGTAAAATTCCAGTACTTATGCAAATAAATTTGAGACCTTGGATACAAGATGGGTGGCAAATTTTCTAAATAAATAAAATAAAATAAAATTTATAAATGAATACATTGTGCTAGATTATTTTGGTTTGCAGCATGAACACAATACTTTCCCCAAGCACCATGTTACCACAGTTCTATAATCCTTAACAATTAAAAGTATTAATTATTATTATTTATTTATATGATATATCATTATCAATATCAGCGTGCACAATATTAAAGTAGAAGCAGCTTTTACATCAAACTCTGAAACTCAACACAGTGGAAATATTAAGGTGAGGCAAATAGATGCAGAAAGGAATAGAAGGAATATATGATTCTGTGTTCTTTCTGCACATGTTTAGATTATTACAGAATGGCATGTGTGGCTTTACAAAAAATGGAAGTTTGATGATAATTTGTTCTGAGAAGCATTAACACTTTTTCTTTAGAATACGATACTGGATATTTCCTTTTTAAAATGTTTTCATATTTGAAAAGTCACTTGTACTTCTGAAAATTAGGATTGAGAAACAACTGATATCAGTATATAATTATTGCTTTTATTCAATTGTGTCCAATTCTTGGAGGCTGTCTGGACATGTCCCTGCAGTTTTCTTGGCAAGGTTTTTCAGGAATGGTTTCCCATTGCCTCCGCCTTAGGGATGAGATAAAGCAATTGGCCAAGGTCATATAGTTGGCTTTGTGCCAAAGCCAGGACTAGAACTCAAATCTCCCAGTTTCTACTCTGCTTTAACCACTATGCTGTAGTGTAGCATATCCCTAATCTGGCTTGTTGCTCTGAAGTGTCCCATTTGTAATATTGGAAAAAGGTCTAGCTGGGAAACCAATCAGTTTTAGTATATGCAGTGGGGAACAGGATTGTTTCAGGTGAGGCTTCACACTAGGAAATCTCAGCTCTGCAGATACTTAAATTTTATTTAGTAATTTGGCTTAACTCTCTCCAAAATAACACAATTATTAGAACCTTTAATGAAAACAAAATGATCTGCCCTCAGCAGTGCAATGAAGTCAAAGCTGTTGTGTTATCTATGATTTAGAATTTAAACTTGAGCGTTTTCCTCCCACCTGAATTAGTAGATACTGGCTCATTCTGTGAATAGCCTTGAGACATAGGTGAGCTATATAGAGAGATTGTTGAAACTGTTAATTGCTGCCTTGACAGACTAAGCATTTAGATTTTTGTTTTCCACTAAATATATTGGGTTAACTGTAACTGGGATGGCCCCTGTCTATATCAAAACCAAGCTCATATCTGGCTGGCTGGATGACCATGCCATCCTCAGGCACTATTCCAAGATAAATGACAACTTGTCTTCTAATACACAATCTTGTTCTCTCACACTTATGAGTATGCTCATTGACTCTGGTTCTTGCCTGCACTGCCATTGACAAGGTCCAAGGGAAAAGGATGGACCATCTATCATATTTCACTCATATATACTTCCTCATAATTCTGGAATGGACTGGGAAAAAACTACTTAATTTGATTTAATTTTATGCACCTTTATTTCTATAAATTATCTAGAGAACATACCTAATACTTCTTCTTCCTCCCATTTTGCCCAGAACAACAATCATGTGAGATGGATTGGTCTGAGAATGACTAACCCAAAATCACCCAGCTGGCCTTCATAGCTAAGGCAAGACTAGATCTCACAGTATCCTGGTTTCTAGTCTGGTGCCGTAACCACTAAACCAAACCGGCTTTTATTTGACTCTTAGTCTGCTCTCCATTTGATAGCAGTATATCTTTAAGCTTGCAAACAAGAGGTTGAGAGGTTTGCAATAGTGTCAAATATCTGTAGCTTGGGTGTAGTAGGATGACAACGAAGGTTCATTCTCTGAGCTTGTGGGTTGTTTCCTGAACATTTTGTTACCAGGCTACTTAACATCTTCAGCAGAGTTTAGGGGATGTCAATTTCAATGTTCTGTTTATAAGGGCTTCAGCTGTGGGTGTGTCAAATGAGGGTCTGTGGTGGGTCTTGTGATGGGCCAGGTGTGAGTTATCAGTGAGTCTTGTGATGGGGAGGTTGCCTCAGGTCAGGGTCATTGGGAGATGAACTGCTGCTGGTGGTGGGGCTTGCATGGGTTGGTTGAGGGTCGGTGTTGTCTCTGGTTGGCTGTCGGTTGACTTGGATCCTGAGGGGTTCGTAGGCCGGTTGTAGACCAGTGTATCTATTGATAGATTTGCTTGTGGAGTGCCAGGCTTCGATGAACTCACAAGTGTGGCGAGTGGTAGTGTGGCAGATTATTTAGTGTTGCTCCAATCTAACTGGTATTGTTTGTGTCAGTGTGGGTAGAGATTAAGGATTTGGGATCATGGTGTTTGACTGCCAGCCAGTGTTTGTGGATCCTGGTTGTTAGTTGATGTGATGTTCGTCCCACGTAGAATTGATTGCAATGGTTGCAACACCTGAAGCCCTTATAAACGGAACACTGACACTGACATCCCTTAAACTCTGCTGAAGATGTTCCCTAGCCTGGTAACAAAACGTTCAGAAATCAGCCTACAAGCTTGGAAAATGAACCTTCACCCTCAGATTGAGAGGTGCAGTATGCAAAGCAGTCCTTGATTTATGACCATCATCAAGCCCATTGCTAAATTAGTTGTGCCCCATTTTACAACCTTACTTGCCACAGTTGTTAAGTGAATCGCTGCAGTTGTTAACTGAATAGCATAGTTATTAAGGGAATCTGGATTCCCCATTGATCTTGCTTATCAGAAGTTTGCAAAAAATGATTACATGATCCCGGGAAACTGCAACTGTCATAAATACATGCCAGTTGCCAAGCATCCAAATATTGGTCACGTGACTGTGGGGATGCTGCCAGGGTCATAAATGTAAAAAAATGGTCATAAGTTACTGAATATTGTTAAACAGAGGCAGAATTAAGTGGACCAG